CTTCTGGAAAAGCTTCACAAGTACGTCGGTACGCAAATGCGCTTTGTGACACAAGTGACGGTACGCATTTCAGATTACGCACATAACCTGCGTACCAGTTATGTGCACCCCTGTACTACAGCAAAAGTATTCTCCGTCGGGACTTCCTGCAACAACACCACGCCGTTATCTTTATTGGCCAGAAGACATTATCAAAGAAACAGAACTGTATATATATATTTCAATACTCCAAAAACCATTAGAATATGCTCACAACCAATAACACATTTTTTATATACTCCTCTCTCCTATCTTTATCTTACCTAGTCTGCATTCTTTTTATTTATGCATATTTTACTAATGACTCCCCTTTCAAACTGTGTGTTACATTTTTTACTGGACATTGGAATGATTTAACTTATTTTGAACAACTATATTAAATAGAAGGAAATATTTGTTTACATAGAGCAGTGGTTCCCAAACGGTGTGCCGCGGCACACTGGTGTGCCTTGAGATTTTTACTTGTCCTTTGGTGTGCCTTGGGCACAAAAAGTTTGGGAACCACTGACATAGATGACCAAACCGTTTGAGACCCACTGAGATAACTTGGACTAAAGTTCACAATCTAATCGCTCAGCGAGTCCTTTACCTCAGCTGACATTATCTCAGCCTCTCAGTCCCACAGGAGAGGACTCTCCCTCTCCTTATTGTTGAAACAGCTACTAATCTCCGTTAGCTCCGAGCTAGCACCAGATGCTAACAACAACCCCTGTAACTCTCTGTGTCTCTCTCACATACAAAATGCGCTCGTGCCACACACACACACAGACGCTCCGTGACGATGAGCGCTTGAGTAAAAAAATAACAATAAACACATTTGAAAAGTGGGGGGGGACACAAACGGGATTTAGAAAAATGGGGGGGGGACATGTCCCAGTGGAAATTACGCCGATGCATGCAACACACGGCAGGGATGGCGGAGAGAACGCGCTCCGAGGTGTGGTTAAACTTTACCCGTCTCGATGTGGAGAATACTTGTTACCATAAGTGCAATAAGAGTTTAGCATGTAAGCACGAGCAATTTGTCTAAACATTTAGCAAAAGTGCACCGCATGCAGACGGAGGAATGTACCGGGTTCGACTGTCTTTCTAGCAGCTCTGTAGCCCCATCCACGAGTAACTTTTCCACGTCAGGTGTTATGTATGCTAGCAGCACACGGAGTTAACTCAGTTATACAAACATGGGTTAATGATTAGAGGTAACTGAGTTATTTATTTAGTTAAAGTTTCAGCTATTCTGTTCACAGTTCTGTCATCACATTATTTAATACGATTTGTTAAAACATTGTTGTTTCTTTTGATGTGAAATATTATTTATTTAATTTAAATAAAAAGCAATGTTAATTTTGTTCACAATTTGTTTAGTTAATTTAATAATACATGTATTTTTGAATCAAGTATTCATCTGTATTGTCTTCATTGTTAGTTTCCACATGCCTAAAACAACCTCAAGCTACATCTAAAAGTTGATGGCTAAATAAGAGCGTTTGAGAAATTGTGCAAGGCATACATTAATAGTCCAAATAGTCGATTATCAAATTATTCGTTTGTTGCAGCCCTACATAACACCTGACGTGGAAACGTTACTCGTGGACGGGGCTACAGAGCTACTAGAAAGACGGTCGAACCCGGTGCATTCCTCCGTCTGAATGTGGAGCACTTTTGCTAAATGTTTAGACAAATTGCTCGTGTTACCGCCCTTACATGCTAAACTCTTATTGCACTTTAGGCAACGAGCATCGAGACGGGTAAAGTTTAACCACACCTCGGAGCGCGTTCTCTCCTCCGTGTGTGTGTGTGTGTGTGTTGCTGCATGTAGCAGCCGCGTGTGTGTAACTGCTCCGCCCCCTCGCAAGCAGGCGGGGGCGAGAGATCTCTCGTCTGGATTGGAAAGATCGAAAATACAACAAATAATCATAGACGCATTTTGCAGTCTTTTTGCATGTTAGAAACGGAGTTGGCGACACTAAAACTGTAATATAATGTTTGTGTAGCAATAATACATATGACATATTTTTTACATGTCTCCAGTACCGATAAAAAGACCGATAACGTCGGAGCTTAACGGTACCACGGTCTTTAATAATTCAGCCCCGGGGCTCAGTACCCATCCCTATTGAAGATTCCATTTGAAGGGCACAACAGAACTTCTCTGTGAACCACAAACAGCGCGTGGGGGCATTGTTTCAACAGTCAAAGACCCAAAGTGTCACGTTACAGAAATGTGAAAGCAAAAGGAAAAACAGCCAAAAAACTACATTCAAATGGCAAAGATAGTCAGGGGTACATGGGTCAGTTTACACAATGATAACAACTATTTGTGATTTAAGGAAAAGCATTGTATTTTTTAAATTGCCTTGGAAATATTTTTTTGTATTTGAGTTGATCATAGACTGCATGTATAAATGTATCTATTTTAAATGAGGTGATAAATTAATTAATTAATTGATCAATAGACAAATGTATTTTTTATTATTTGAATATCAATTAATTAATTGTTATTGAATGCTGTATAAATATATATATATATATATATATATATATATATATACACAATGAGATGAAGACATACTTTGTTAACTTAATTTTACACTGGTGTTTTTTACATCTGGTCTGGCCCGTGTAGATGCCTTGAAATAAAAAAGAACTTGTGACGTACCTGGTAGTTTTGTGAGGTGACGGGCGGAGGTGGTGGCGGGACATCCTGCTGGCGCTGAGGGTAGCCGTAGTCTGCGGCAGTATGGGCTGGCTGGTATCCTCCATAAGCTGCAGCAGTAGCCGCTGCCACGGAGACCGGCGCTGGCCTAGCTACAGCCACTGTGGCTGCAGAGGGAGCATAGGCCGCCGCCACGGTGTGGGCCGCCACCGGAGCCTGATGAACGGTGTAACTGGCCACTGTGGTGGGGTGTGTGTAGGCTACCCCGGCAGTTGGCTGCTGACTGGCAGGGCAACACGGGAGAGAAATGTAAAAGGTTAGCTGGCAGTTCACTCCTATTGTGGTAGTGGTTTTAAAATTAACGTTACACAATTGACTGTCCTGGTCCTTAATAGTGATTGGCTGAGCTGCATTAGAACCCGTTTTAAAATAATCTGTAAACACACAGCCTTGACAAAATTACACGTATTGCGGCGCCATTTAATCACGTATTGTCAAAAGTGGTTGAAAGAGACAGAGGAAAGAAAAGGAAGATGTTGTGTTTACCGGATCATATAAAATAACCCAGGTACAACATCAGTAAAGTAGGTAGCTGTTATCACCTTATAAAGTAACGGTTGTATCCAGCCATTAAGCCAAAAGAAGAGGAGGAGGAGGAATTTCAAAAAGCTTTAAACCTGTTTTCCTTCACACATGGTTGGTTGTTTTGTTTTCTAGCATAACCTCACGCTTCAGAGCAGAATCGGAGTTTGGTTTATTGTCGGTTTTTAATAATTCAAGGCATTTTTGTTGCCGTTTTGGGGCAGAACTTAAAAATAGTAATACAAAAAACAACTAAATACAAGTATTCAAAAACAAATAAAATATGCATTTAAAATTGGGGGAGCGGTTTAATTTTAGAAGGGTGCAAAGATTTACAGTTTACATTAAGAGAATATATGGTGTACACACAGTGATGTAGTCCCAGGTGCCTGTATGCCTTTTCATAACTGTTGGCTTGATCATGAAAGGATCAATATACTGTGGGCAGAACACACGTCCCGTAAACCTCTTTTTTAGCCAGTGTTAAGACCATAGACACAAGGGTTGGCCCTGCAATAACACTGGCGCAACAGACACACCCTCCTTGTTCATTTCAACTAGAATGGTTCTAGTCAAATGAGTTCAGTCTGCTCACCTTTTGCCGCAACGGAGGGTTATCGAGCAAAATACATGTCAGTGCGTACATTCAAGGTGGGGGATTATAAATGACTTTAGTACTTTATTCCTAATAACACTATAGACGTATTTTTTGTAGTTTTGCGTCTGATAAACAAATTGATGTATTGACAGTGGGCTTATTCAATCATATGTATCTTCTCCATCACCGCAGTCAAGCCCCGTCTGATGCGGCTGCAGCAGAGATAACCGCCCCCTCCCCCAGCCTGAACAATGGTGGTAGTAGGGACCATACCGCCGCACAACACACTAACGCAGCTCACCTTTGAGCAAAAAAGCATGTGGTTACGGTAAAGAGGGCAATGACTCATGTTCCCTTACCTGTACTGGGCGGCAGCGCCATGGGTAAATCCAAAGTAATTGCCGGTAGCCATTTTGGCATCTTCACCTAGCCGGCCCGGCACTGCGGAGAACAGACATACAGTATTATGCTAAGCTAACAGTTAGCAGCGGGCTCGACCGAGCGGCCCAAGGACTGTCCATTAACGTCATTAAAACTCATACACATGCTTATTTGTTTATTAAGATACTTGACACTACACCTCTCTAGCTTGCAAACAAAACCACCAGCTTAAACAATACTCACCATAGGTGAAGGACACTACTGGACATATAGGAATCATTGGTTTTGATTATTGTACCGACGAACGTGCAGGACACACCAGCGTATTTATATGACATGCAGTACCCGGAAATGTCCTATTTGCGCCTGCGCAGACGAAAGGAGCTGTTGTGCAAAGATCTGCGTGCCCGCTGAGAACTGCATACACTCACGGGAGCGCGCAAAGCTGCAGCAGGCTCTTCTTATCATAACATCTGTCATGTGCCTCAATCGCACAGATGTTTGTTCTTGATCACTAACTTCATTTTAAAAGAATGTCCGGCAGCAGCTGTATTTTCCCTTTGGAGATCAATAATGGCAGTATTGACTTTCAGTGATTTATGTAAATGAACTACATTTATATTTATATTTCAGTGAAAAGCTATATAAAAGTAGACTTGCAAAGTTATCCATACAAATATGGATAGGTAAGAACATTTTATTTTCCCCACTTTGGACAAAACAACTCACACCACTGAGCCAGCATAAATGTAAAGATACACATTTTATTTTTAAAATAGTACAACAGTTATAATAACATTTTGAATTTGGTTTTGAAAATGACTTAGTCTTGATGAATACGATGCAGTTTGACTGTGTGAAACTCTCTATATTTGGTCAAATAAACTCACTTGTCATTTAAAAAACACCATATTTTAAGAATGGTATAAAACATAGTCCAGAAAGCACAGTTTTGTACAACAGTTTGCTTTATTACTATTTTTATTGCACACTGAGGAACCTCCTCTTCTTGGATGTGTGTGTGTATGCATGGTGACGCCATTCCACATCCGCCGTACTCTCGTTCTCCAGGGTGCCCAGTTTGATCATATACACTGCAAAAAGAACAGGTGTTAAAGGTGTCATGGCCATTTCTACTGATCATAATTCCATTGTTGAGGTCTACTAGAATAGATTTACATTGTTCAATGTTCCAAAATCACATTGTTCTCATGCAGCATCTCTGTATAGTATGTGAATGAAGTTATATTTTTCACTGTTGACCAAGTTTAAATCAAAAGGCCCCCATGAACACACAATATCTAGATTTAAGTATACAGATGCGCTCTTTGTAGTTTTTCTATGGATATTGTAGTTTCACCACAGCAGATGCACATCAATAACCTTCGCTGGTGGATCATAAATACGTTGCTCAGTGCAAAGTCTACTCCTAATTCCTGATGTATTCTCCTCATCCTTTTTCCTTAACCACATTTGATTTCTCATCGAGGTCAAGGAGAAGTGGCTAGGAAAATATATAGGACCTGATTTCTTTGACTATTGGACTGCACGTGTGCTCCTGCTCCCAGTCTGGGCTCAGCTAGGCTAAAAGCTCCTAAATCAATGCGTGGACTGGATGACAAGTCTCTTTTATCCATCTACACATACTTACATTTCATTTCAAACCTGGGTCCGACTTCAGTCAGCACCACGTTCTTGTGGTCTGTTTTCTTGTAGGTGTGATGTCTATAATACAAAAAATAGAAAAAGGTAGAACTCTTAGCACTGTTTACCTTGATTAAGGCTAACTTTTGTATTATTATTGGTCTTATATATGTAACAAGGACCATGCATAACAATACATACATCTGGAACAAATGGAAGAGATCTAATATATACCAGATTAAAGCTAAAAGCTCATTTCCCTCTGCAGTCCCTGGGCAGGTACACACATACAAACATTTCATAATGCCTATCACAATTACACATAAAACAGATCAAATACAGATGTATACAATAAAAGATACTCGTACATGTCAACATAACTCTAACTTTACAATTCATTCAAACTTACATCTCAAATGACAGTAACATTTAAGTTGATTCTACTGTACAGTATTTCATTTGACATTCTGTTTTTATCTTATCTTGCAGGAGGAGGTTTGTACTGAAAATGTTCATTGCCCAAACTTCTCTTGCTTCTATTGTGCATTTGATAATAAAGCCCTCGAAATTTGAATCATAGAGTTAGCTGTGCTGTCTCAGCGTTTTGGCTCCTCATGTTATCATTCTGGAGTAGCGATAGAAACACTGGCTATTTTAAAACCAGCTTCTCTAAACCAATCAGAATGGTCTTGGGCGGCTCTAAGGCCGGGATGCAAGGACTATTTCACACTGACTGACCTGAAAGAGATGAAGTCCTCTTGGTTGGAGAACGTGATGACCCGCCTACTGTCCTCCTTTGGCACCGGGAAGAGATACTTGAGGATATTTGATACCTGCGTGAACACACATACTTAGTGACAAGTGGGGAAGGTCAGGATGGGGAGCAACAGATTACATGTTACGTGATTACGTAATCAGAATACAAAAAAGGTAACTGTATTCCCTCACAGTAAATCGGCCCTCGATTCCAAGTCTGTCTTGCACTATTTCTATTTTTAAATGTGGTTTATTGTTTTATGTCTTATTTATAATCATGTTGCATTGTTGGAGGAGCTCGGGACTTTCATTGCCATGTCTAAGCTGTAGCTACTGTACAATAAAGCCTTTGCATTTGAATCTATTGAAGTCATCTGAAAATAACGGGAAGTAATCAGGTAATCTTTTGTTGTGAAATTCAGATTAGTTTACTGATCATTAATTCTCTTTTACATGTTACTAGTATTTGTAACGGAATACATTTTGAAGGAGAATATCTCTGGCATGTGTACGATGGTCCATCTCTCACCCTGGTGCCGAGGCGGGAGGAGAAGTTGTTGAAGATGAGGTGGGGGTAGGCCTCAGACATGGTGCCGATGTCGGGAACATCGTGCCTCATGACCACGTTGTACAGGGTGAAGTATGCCGTGGGTCCAAAAGGCAAGTGGCACACCACCAGGGCGTCTGGAAGTAAGTCACAACATAATAGAAACCTGTTTTACCTGGATTTTTTAAGATATCAACTTTATTTATCCCAAGTTGGGAAAATATTTTGTCACAGCAGCACTTTGACAGAAATTGTGTAGAGAAGCTCAATAGTCTATTACAGAGTCTAAAAATACAGTTACAGCCTACAATGAACACAGGGTCATGTGATCTGAGGCACAGGTCATAGACAACTGTGACGGTGAGAGACCACGTTAGTAAAAGTTCTCCATAGGAAAGCAAAATGTTGTTCCTAAGATTTAATACTTACTTTCTTTCCATATATGGAGCTGTTTCATTATAATTCAGTTAGTTGAAAGGATTGGCAGCTGGTCCTTTGTCTTGCTCGTACTGACTTTTTCAGCGAGTTATTTTCATTTTCCAATTTAAAAACACACTTCATATCCAAAACCTGCTTAGAGTTAGTGTGTAATATAAAATAAAGTCATGAGGCTAAAACCCAGGAACAAGTTAGCATTTTAACACTTCTGGTTTCAAAATTAACGTTTTTTCGAACAAGTTTTTAATCAGATGCCTCTTGATTAAAAATAAGGTATTTGGTTAACGCTGGCTTAAGAGATGTTCACCTTTTGTTCTACGAAATATGTCAGTAAATAATTCACTGATAAATGTTTGAAGCTTCTATGTGTCATAATACCGGTGGTTGCCAACAAGTGGCTAATTGTGGCTTTATTTGGGCTGCTTCCTGTAGGAGGAGACTCCTGTTCAAAGCCAGAGGGACCAATCACATGTCCCCAACATGAGACCGAGGTAACGTGCGTACCTGGGTTTCCTCTGGTTTCGTGTATGATGACGAGGTCAGTGACGTTGTTGGCTTTGCAGGCGCCGACCAGTGCGTTCATCTCGTGGTTTCCTCTGTTCATGCGCTGGGCTCCAGGAAACATCAGCTTTATCTCCTGGAACAATTGACGTTAAGCACAAATTGATCTCTGCTCTTTTCTTACTCCGCTCTAGGGAAGAGCTCATAAACATCAGAGGAACCACTACAGCGGATTAGATTCCCAATGTTCTCTGATCATCAGTGGAATTATTGGACATTTGTATCAAGGTGCACACTCAAAAATATCTTGTTCTTTTTAATATTGTAAATCCTGCACAACATGTTATCTATTTTTGAATCTGCACAGCTCTCCACTTTGAATACAGTATTTGTCATATTTTACTGTACTCAGTTTCTCAAGTAATTATATTTGTGTAAATATTGTCTTTATTATAATGTTTAAGAATAATCTTAAAATAGTTTTTTTAAATAGCTTTTATAATAGTATTATGTTTTGCTACGTATTCTTCTTTCTGTGTCTTTGAATGCACCATTAACACCAAAGCAAATTCCTCGTATGTGTAAATCTACTCTTCTGATACCTTTAGAGTACTTGAGTTAATACATGTTTTGAGCTGCTGTATTCAGTACCCCTCATGTGAATGACAGCATGTAGTACTTCACCACCACAGGCTGTATGTATGTTTGTACATATACTAATGGGGTGGAATGGTAATGTTTGATGAGACCCATCAAATAAAGGCTGACAATCACAATCTCCAAGCCCATCCGCGTTCTAACGATCTCAGAGCAATTCATCCCAGAGAGAGTGGCCTTACCTTGGAGAACATTTTGAGTCTGGAGCTGGGGTCTCTGGAGGTGGTCACCAGGATTTTAGGATCTTCCACTCCGGCCCATTTATACTCATCATCCATGTGTGAGCTGACACCTGCACAGACAAGAGCCAATCAAAAGCAATGAATACACTGAAGGCTACACTGATCCATGAAATAGGACGCTGCTCATAAGAAGAGGGAATAATAACACAAACCTTCTGCTCCTTCATCGTCGTACTCCAGTAGTTTCTGCAGCTCCAGGGCATCTTTGCGTACTTCAGTTGGGAGGAGACGATTTTCTGCAAAGGACAAGGACAGCTCGTGTTAAACCAGGATGGGTGCTTGGTCGGGGACGATGGAACCGATGCTCCTGCCCGATTCCCACCTTCAAGTGCTCCCTTGAGCTTCTGCTTCTTCTCCTCGATGGTTCGGAGCCGGTCCTCCTGGGCCTTCCTGTACAGGTACTCTCGACGCTGTCTCACTTCTCGGCGAAGCTGGAACAATATGACACCAAATACTCAAATACACAAATGTAATTTTGACTATATAATTAGAATCCCTTTATTTAATATAGAGGGAAAAAAAGAACACATTAGTTATAATAGGAGAAAAATGAAGGCAAATAAGTACACGTCCATGGCTAAAAATGAGTGATAACGTGTCATTTGACATTTTCAGTATACGTTGAATTGTCAGAAATAGGGCTGCACATTAGATACAACATTGGTATTCAAATCACAGAAGGTGCATTATTTGTTAAACGGAATTAAAAATGAAAAACAATCATATTCTCATCTAGAGACTTAACTAAATATATGTGTGTGTTGAAGATCCTAAAAACACACGATGATGATTGATTTTAAATACATTTCAAAGATATTAAAAACGATGCAAAAATGATCAATCGCTCAATTATCGTGAATCATATTGCGATTAGAATATCATTCCAAAATAATCTCAATGATGTATTGAATCCAAATTGTGCAGTCCTAGTCAGAAATCAATATATAATGATGTGTATCATGACACCATGACTACATGTTGAAACTCACAATGAAATAAGGTCAACCATGTCCTTAATGATAAGTCACCCATTTCAATGTTAACAAAGTGCTGCCTGGTGAAGCGGAGTAGTGTTAATGCCGAACACAAGAATAGAGTCGGATTATTCATGTTTCAGAAGATATTTGGGTTTAAAATAAAGGTTATTGTAATTATTAGGATTTCTAAATGCAGTGTCAGTCCCAAAAAGAGCAATTTCCATACAGAAAGAAAAACATAGTTTATTAAGTTAGCTAAGGAAGCTATGCAACTATAAAATAACTAAATATCGTCATAAACATAAAAGGATATAAACTGTGGAACAGACTGTGATGTTTACATTGAATAAAGATACTGTATCACGCGCAAATGTATTATAAACTACGTTACAGCTATCGTTAGCTCGAATGCTAATGCGAGTTTCCAAACAAAGATAATAAAATACGTGATAAGATGTTAGAGTTAGGCTTTTTAAACTTACCATGATGATTCTTTAGCATGTAGCACTTCTCACATGGAGAAAGCAGGGCATGCGTACAAGGGCTTTCTTCATTGGCTGACAGAGGAGCCAATGAGAGCGCTCGATACTGATTTCAAAGCTTTTCAAAATAAAAGCCCGAGTTTCAAGCAAACCCCAAACCCCGTCTGTTGAGGACGGATTTTAAAGGTCATGCTTTTCCGGTTAGTACCCGTCCCCTTGTGTGTTATGAAGCTTTTCCTGCATGTAAACGGTCTGCAGAGTCACAAACCGCCCCGGAACGCCTCGTCGGAGATTTGTCTTTTTCTTCCTGGGTACAGTGACGTGCCCGTACCCAGGTCCAAATGGAGCAATCCGTGGAGCTCCTCACACACACGTCCAGTTTTTGGCATAGACGACAGACGGTCTGCACTACAGGGGTTCCCAAACTTTTCAGCCCACGACCCCCAAAATAACTGTGCCAGAGACTAGCAGTCTACTGAAGCCAGTCCCCAACTCCAGGGACTTCGGGTGGCAGCCGTGAAGTTGTTTGCGGCCTGAAGAAGAAGAAGAAGAAGAAGAAGAAGAAGAAGAAGAAGAAGAAGAAGAAGAAGAAGAAGAAGAAGAAGAAGAAGAAGAAGAAGAAAAAGAAAAGAAAAGAAAAGAAGAAGAAGAAGAAGAAGA